TGCTAATCACAGCGTCGAGTCTGCCACCCTCAAAATCCAAAATGACCTGTTGCAGGCTATGGACAAGCGCAGGATATCATTGCTCGTGTTGCTCGACCTATCAGCAGCTTTTCATACAGTTGACCATCCCACATTATTCAGCCGCCTCAACACTCGTATTGGGATAGATGGAGTTGCATTAGACTGGTTTAAATCATACCTTAATGACCGATCTCAATTTGTCCGGGTCAATGATTCAAGTTCATCTACTGTCTCTCTTGATTTTGGGCTACCTCAAGGATCAGTCCTAGGGCCCGTCTTGTTCTCTCTGTATACAATGCCACTTGGTGAAATCATTCGAAAGCATGGTATATCCTATCATTGTTATGCAGATGATACCCAATTATATATGTCAGTAGACCCTCAACAACACAAGGTTGATTCAGCAATCCAGCAGATGGAAACATGCATTGATGACGTACGTTCTTGGATGACTCACAACTGGCTCAAATTCAACGATGAAAAGACCGAATTTATCATCATAGGTTCAAAGCAGCAATCGTGCAAAGTTCATGTTCCATCCATAAGGGTTGGTGATTCAACCATCATGCCATCAAATCAAGTCAGAAATCTTGGTATTATCTTTGATTCATCTCTATCCATGGAACATCACCTTACATCAATCTCTAGATCAGTCTGCATGTCGATCCGTAACATCGGACACATACGAAAATATCTTGACAAACACACAACTGAAATACTTGTTCACGCTTTCATCACATCCACAATTGACATGGGCAATTCACTATCGGACACATACGAAAATATCTTGACAAACACACAACTGAAATACTTGTTCACGCTTTCATCACATCCAAAATTGACATGGGCAATTCACTATTGTATGGCATTAACCTAAATCAACTAAACCGTTTGCAGCGACTACAAAACATCAGTGCCAGACTAATCTCTCTCACTAGTAAACATTCTCACATCACTCCTGTACTAGCAGATCTCCACTGGCTTCCAGTATCATACAGAATTAAATACAAACTTGGCCTATTCGTTTACAAAATCCTCCACAACAATGCGCCGGAGTATCTCATCGATCTCATCAACCCGTACTCAACAGCACGCACCGGACTTCGCTCCAGTGAGCTCATGATGCTTCATGAGCCCAGGACCTCCACTCTGTGGGGTGACAGATCCTTTGCTGCAGCGTCAACCCGAGTTTGGAACCAACTCCCTCTGGCTATCAAATCATCTCCATCCATCACAACATTTAAGACAAACATAAAATTTCACCTGTACAAACAAGCTTACTCTCACAACACACAATCTTAACTTGACTTTCTCCTCGAGCGCCATGAGCGCCTATTTTTGGCGGATACCGGCGCTTTACAAATGTTCTTTTATTATTATTATTATTATTATTAATTAGTTACCACGACCCTCATAGCCTTGTGTGCATTTATCTGCCCCTGTTATCCTGCAAAAAAAAAATCCAATCTTGCTGGGCACTAAAAAAAAAAGCCCGCTGGTGACAAAAAAGGCACTTGTGTACAAAATAAGGGCACTTGCGTAAAAAAGAAGGGCACTCTTTACAAAATATATTTTTTTGGGGGAGGGGTAGAGTCCCCCCCCCCCCCCGTGTTATGATTATGAATTTTTGCTGACACACACTGCCAGCAATAATTACAAGCAAAGTAACGACGTGTTCGAGGGCACTGGTTTTCATAAACTCACTAGAATGGATTACCTCGTAATTGGATATGGTGCTTGTTAATCAATAACGATCTAATTTATGAGGGTCCCTGTTCAATGAAAGATTATTAGACAGTGACAATGGAACGGCAGCCTAATTATCTTTTTGCATCCGTTCCACGAGTTTTCTTGGATGCAAATTGATGAAAATATACCAAAATCTCCCAGGCATGGGAAATAGGGGGATACGGATGTAATACATTGTGTAAGAGTGAACTTTTTTGGTCCATTTAGGCCGCTTGTATTTCAGTGTATTTCATTGTATTTCAGGCCGCTTTATTTGCACGACTTTTTGCACAAATAGACCCGCCCGTTCAGCAGACTTGTTTACGTTCTGTATATTATCGATTATGATCGGGGCAGGGACCAATCCTCCCGGCGTGAACTGAATTATTGTCGGATTACAAATATTTTGAAATGTGTACATTATTTATTCCTTCCCTACACATCGGCTTCATTCGTCCTTTGATTTCTATTTCTCAAAATGGAAAAATGCTTGTCTTTCTAGGGACAAAACACAGCAATACGAATCTGCTTGTTTTGTAAAGGGACGAGGTGAACTCAACATTAGCAATGAAAACGCATCTTTCATTGATTAATTTTGTTGTGATGACTGCAGCAGAAATATAGACTCTGTTCTTCATGCAAAGATTGTTATAATAGATTATGTAAATATGGCACACATGGCCGATCGAAATCTTGCCAGCAACTCGCACAGACATTTGATTCGTGTTGTTGCTAAATCTGCTGGAACTGGGTTCGGGCCATAGCCGAGGGGGGGGGGGGGGAACAGACAGGGCGGGCGAGGGGTTAAAAGAGAAAGTAAAAGTTGGAATGAACTTTTATTTTTTCTTGAGATATCAGGTTTAATTCAAATTACAAACCACACACACTATCCAACACTAAATTGTTTAATATGTCTTGAAATGCGCAAACAGTTGACAGATTTGCAACAGAAATACAATAGGAGTGACTGATGCATCGATGGGGATCCAATTGGACCTCATTTTCTGGAGGAGGGCACTCAACTGTTTTTACAATATCAACGCTCCTTTTAGCCCCCCCCCCCCTAAATTCTAAGAAGGTGAGGGGGGGGGGATTCACGGGGGAGGGGCATAGGCCATGAGTGGGGGTAAGCCTTAGATACGCCACTAGAAAACTCTTGATATACAAAATTGTCGTTTGAATGCCTTGTTGCTGGGTAGGCATATCTACAAAACAAAATACTTAAAAAGTTTTTTTTAATTTTAATATGTTATTGCGAAGATGAAGTAGCCAAAAGCAGTTACAGGTGTATTTCGAGTGTGACCCCGTAAAAGATTTAACTTTCAATTGCTGTATTCCTTGCGACATCATAAGTTATTCAATTTCGAATGAGACATCGAACGAAGAAGTCCACCGAGGTTTAGTTATTGAATTATTTCTGTAAAAAAATTGAATTATTTGCTGCTCGATAATGATTCGGCTTTTGGAGGGCGTTTTCATTTACACGCAAAACAGAAACGTCCATTTGCGAGGGCTGCAGACTCCTCAAATCGGGAGAAAAAAAATTCCCTGATATCAGTAAGGCCAAAAAAAAAAGTCTCCGGTTTCTGGTATGGAGCTATAGTGGTGCGGCGACGCGGCTTTTTTTTTTTTTACCTGACTTTTTTGCTCCAAATGTCGGCTGATGACTGCAAATGGTGCCTGACTAAACTTAGTGCAAATATATGGGAGTCCAGAGAGGCCACATAAAGCTTATTCTCGATCATAACCCCATCTAAAAACACGTTAAAATCGTGCAGCAGCAGTATTCCAGTCAAACCAGTGAGTTTGGCGGTTTTGAGACATCATCTTTCATTGAAAGAAAAAACTTTTTCATTTTGCCGACGCGCATGGCTACGGCGACGCGTGCGCATACCAGAAACCGGAGACTTAGGGGGGGGGGGGGCCTAACATACAAATTCAAAGTTTGTTAGAGCACAAGCATACTTTTTTAACTCGAATATTATTTTGTACGTTCATATATTCTCTCGCGCCGTATTCATTTTGTTTCAATCACTTGTTTTAATGAATGGTTCAAATTCTACTTTAGGAAATAAAAAGAGGACTTTACCCATGCAGTCAAATAATTACAAGGCTTTGTAGATTATCATGCATGGATATAGCCGACGCCAAGTGAAGATCCCAGGGATCCAAAGCGTCTTGGATGATGTACCAGCAGGTTTCTCCCCTGAAATGATAAGGGAACTAATTACTGCATTGGAATTTTTGTCCTTGCATTTTATAATGCGGGATAGCGAAAAAAAAGGATATTTTCACTTGTGTAGGGCCGGGGGGTGGAGAACAAGATAGTCCAGGTCATTTTATGCTGTTTATTTTTGTGGATTTTTGACAAAACTGGGCCTTAAAATGTCAGATCCGTGCTCTATGATACGTCTCCGTTTACAGTTCAACAGCACCCCAAGTGTCAAGTAATCATAGCTGCCTCTGGACAAAATTCCGGCGACGTTCATGCCGATGGGATTTGGAAGGGTTCGGGGTGATTCGAAGAAAACGGGAAATGGTGTAAAAATGATGAAACACCGGGCGCGGTTCCAGAGGGGGGTTTGGGGGTCAAACGGGATTACACAAAACGGTGGAGGGGGGTCTCAACTGAATATTTAGTGTAAAATACTTTGTTTTAATATTAACTGTAAAGTCGAAAAGATTAATTTTGAGTTACTGATTTCATGGTAAATATTTCCAAATTACCTTTTACTGATAAGAATAATTATAGGAAATGACATTTAATCGACTCTTGTGATAGAGAGGACGTGTCTTTTCATTACACAATATCAAGATTAAATTGTAATTTTGTTCTTTGCCTCTGATAGCCCAACACAGGAACCGGGTGTATGCATGTCATCAAAGGTCTCAAATTGGGGGGGCCGGCCGGCCGGTCCAAACTAAAAATATCCACAGGTTCTGCAGGAGTTGCAGTTATTTCCAAAAATAAATATGAAAATGGGGTAACGTATCTGTTTGTTCTTAACAAGAGTATTTGAAAAACTGAACTTTAAGGAATGCTGATGATCGCTTCATTGTTTTTCGAATAGTTTATTGTTTATTTTGTCATTTCTTGGACGGAAAGTTAAGTTTTTTGATGAGTCATCAACCAAGAAACCACGATCTATAGGCTAATCCATTAATTTTCCTGTTAATCAAATTAAATGTTCACATTCAACACGCTTCCAATGTACCGATGCATTGTATAATATTGCGATAAACTTCATATTTCAATCCGATTGCTTTATTCTCAGTCTGTGACATCAATAATCAATGGCCGTACCAGTGCCCTCCCGACTCGATCTGTGTGCCAGCACCCACTCCCACGGGGGGCAAGTGCGCGGCTTTTAAGAAGAGAATGTCAAATGTTGAAGGTAAATTTCACGTCTCCCGAAAAATTGACTGAACAGTCGTTATAGGGGTGTTATTGTTACCAAGACGTAAATTTCCGATAATTATTCAATATTAATATGAGGATTTTTTTTTTTTTGGGGGGGGGTGTTTTGTTTCAAAACTGGGATTTACTGTAATTGACTTACCTTGAAGCCAATGGAACCCTATTTTAAAATAGAATCATTGGAAAGCAACAGGGTGTCCCGTTTCCTTTATAAAGAGCACGGGGCACGCATCTGTAACGCAGTGAACATAAAAGGTGCACAGTCAACATCTTCCCGCTTCATTGCTCTTCAGTTGACAAGTTTGGGCAGCTCAAGCGGAGTAGTTTCTCGGCTTATTTTCCTCTTTTTTGAAGTATGTTCCTTTAAACGGATGCAGCTCAGTTGAACCACATCCATATTTAGCATCAATATACAATCCACCAATCGGACCAGTAGTAAAGTATTGACACGTTTTAGTGGCCATTCGACCTTACTTCAATAAAGATCCTTGTAATTATCTGTGTAAGATTTAGTGTTGACACTTTTTTTCATCCAAACCGACGCACTGATCAGGAATAAAATGTACTTCCCTCTCTCTTTCTTCCTTTCTTTTCAGCCGACGAGTTTGGTGTCAAACAAGATCGTAAGTTTTTGCAATTGATTTCTTCTTAATTTTCCTGTTAATCAGATTTAATGTTCACATTCAACACACTTCCAATGTGCCGATGCATTGTATAATATTGCGATTAACTTCATATTTCAATCCGATTGTTTTATTCTCAGTCTGTGACATCAATAATCAATGGCCGTACCAGTGCCCTCCCGGCTGGCTCTGTGTGCCAGCACCCACTCCCACGGGGGGCGAGTGCATACGTTTTAAGAAGAGAATGGCAAATGTTGAAGGTACATTTCACTTCTCCCGAAAAATTGACATAGCAGTCTTTATAGGGGTGTTTTTGTTACCAAGACGTAAATTTCCGATAATTATTCAATATCAATATGAGGAATTTTTTTTTTTTTTTTGGGGGGGGGGGTGTTTCAAAAATGGGATTTACTGTAATTGACTCACCTTGAAGCCAATGGAACCCTATTTTAAAATAGAATCACTGGAAAGCAACAGTGTGTCCCGTTTCCTTTATAAAGAGCACGGGGCACGCATCTGTAACGCAGTGAACATAAAAAGTGAACAGTCAACATGTTCTCCGTCTCATTGCTCTTCAGTTGACAAGTCTGTTTGTTTAAGTTTGCATCAATATAGTCTGAAACATGTATTCCCCCTGCTAATTCGTGTTTCATCCCGAAAGTAGATTTTTTTTCAATTGCTATTTTCCCTCGAGTATAAAACAAAGACACACCGAAATCAACCGACGTTTAGTTTATTGAATTATTGCTTTAACAAATTCGACTTATTTAGGACCCGACAATAACTCGGTTCCATAAAGCTCAATTAAATTAAGTTTAATATAGCTCTATGGTCGCAGCTGATTGTAGATGAGCAAAATGGAAAGAAAAAAATTAAAGCAAAATTTACAAACTGAATTCAAAAATCTATAGCACCCCGTGGAAGTTGTGGAAATTCTACCTTAATTCAATAAACCTCCTTATTTTCTGTGTAAGAAATTTTCTGTGTAAGATCTATAGCGTTAAAATTTGTTATCCAAAATGACGCACTGAACTTTCTTTTTTTCTTCTCATTGCTCTTCAGTTGACAGGTAGGGGGCAGCTCAAGCAGAGAAGTTTCCAGGATTATTTTCCTCTTTTTGAAGCTTTTATACCCTTTAACGGATGCAGCTAAGTTGGACGACCCTTATTTAGCCCTGAAGTACTGACACGTTTTAGTGGACATTGAAATGAACGAAAAAGCCAACGTAAAAGTGGAATATCTACTGCATGCATTCCAACCATCGGACCAGTCGAGTACGTTTTTGTGGACATTCGACCTTAATTCAATCAAGATTGCTGTAATTTTCAGTGTAAAATCTAGCGTTAATACCGTTTTTTTATACGAACGGACACACTGACCAAGAATAAAATAATTTCGCCCCCTCTCTTCCTTTCAACCGACGAGGTTGCTGTGAAGCAATATCCAATATCCAGTTCTTAAAGCTGTATTCCCCGAGCTAATTCGTGTTTCACCCCGAAAGTAGATTTTTTATTTCAATTGCCATTTTCCCTCGAGTATAAAACAAAGACACACTGAAATCAACTGACGTTTACTTTATTGAATTATTGCTTTAACAAATTCGACTCATTTGCGGCCCGACAATAAGTCGGTTCCATAGAGCTAAACCAATACCGAAAAAGTGATTTTATTTTCCTCATTTATTGTTTTGTTTTTGGTCTTCATTTCAGAGTCCTAAATGCCAACAGCCTCGGGATGGTGAAGTCGCAATTGATTAATTATAACGGTGAAGGGTTTAAGTTGTGTTGTCTTTGCCTTGTTCGAGTTAAATGAGACTTTTTAAATTAACATGTATTTGAAATTCCTCCCAAAGGAAGAAACTGTTGACAAAGCTATACTACCATGAGTAAATGACACATTGTCCGATTACCATTTTAATCTGATCCTAATCTGAATCTTTATCTGGAAATGAATATTAACAACACCCAATGGGTGTCACGATTGTGATGCTACCACTGCGAGTTTTTCTGACACAATTTCCTATGGGAAATGTTTCCTTTGCATCGCATTCATGTATCATTTTTGGTGTTGTTATTAATAAGCCAATGAGGCCTTCCTTTTAACCCTAAAAGGGCCGGGGCGGAATCTACCCCGCCCCCTCAACTTTTTCCGCGATAGCCTTGAGGTTTTTTTTTTCGCGAGACGAGCTGTTCTGACTTTTTAGCCTCGAGTCTTGCGCATCTCTTGATTCCAAAAACATAAAATTCGGACCACGGGTTGCCACGCAGCGAAACTGAATATCCCCATATACGTATAGTGTACACACAAAAAAACAGAATTACTATTCGTACATATTGTAACGGGAATCCGGGGCTCGATATACCCAGGGGTACAACGAATCCCTAAAAACCCGCCGGGATTAATAACCAGGAGAAATCGGTGATGTATGGCTGAGCTAGTGCTTGATCGGGACCAGCGTTGAGGGCGCCGTCACAATCTCAGGACGTCAACCTGACCCAAGTGGAGTTCGTCTGGTAGCGTAGCTTTCTTCAAGGCCTCGATGACTTTATGGATAGGGGAAGGGTAAGGGGAGGGCTTGGACTATAACTTGGCGCGCAAACGCAATAGAAAAGGGAAGGCTGGGGTGGAGGAGGCAATATAATTTGAGTCTGTCCTATAGGCCTAAAGTCTGGCTCTTAAGTCTTTCCCTATAAAGTCTGACCCTAAAGTCTTGCCTAAAAGTCTGACCTAAAGTCTTGCCCTAAACCTTTATTCTGAGGCAGATTACTTAAAAAGACAATAACTGACATAAATCAGTCAGGCAGCAGAGACAAGTGGCTATAATTCACAATCAAACTTCTTGTTTGTTTTAATCAATCACCATCAAATAATAATAATTAAACACTTCATCAGATTGGGTCACTTTAGTTTGCATACGCACATTCTAATTGCTGCCGCTTAAACACAGTGCGCAATTGGACTGATAGCAAGTCTAATTAAGCATGTTTTGTGCGCGGATATGTACACACAGTACATGGCGTATATGCATGGGCTGTCGTTGGCCGTTGTACGTTGCTTCCTTTTCCGTGTGGACATCGGTATTATTCTTCTTCGTGCTTCGTCTCTTCTTATCTTCTTCCTCAGGCTACTTCTTCAATTCCTCTTGTTTCTTCATCTTCTTGCTTGTTCCCTCTTGCTTGTTCCTTCTTCTTCTTCCGAATCCTGACATCCGCTTTGTTTTTCCCACAGGGCTTGTTCTGGAGGCGAACAGAGCGCTCGATTGCTGTTCCAGCTCGCCTTTTATGCACTTTTGGCAGGGCTGAATCTGGGGCGCAGTGAGCGCGCGCGTCCCAATAGGCTAAAAGTGCGCGTAGCGCGTATCGCGTATGCAAAACGAGTCACCAACCCTGATGATGAAATCTCTGCATTAGTTAAGTACATCATTAACCTGTGTACAAAAGTCAATAACACACAAACAATGGGTGCATTCAATAACACTTTGCACATACGTCAAATGCCTTGAACGTTATAAAACTTGCATAAGTACCTGGAAGAAACAACAGTGTAACGCAAAGTTAATGGCTTCTTCACATCATTGTGGAATTATTCTATAAATACTACGAATATTTGGTAAGTCTAGTAGGTGAATAAAGTTGGATTTGAGGGCTGAAAATGGCCTAAAATCAACAAGTTTCATCTCCATTCTGTAGTCCGAGATTCATTTAAGGAAACCAGACTATTCTCTAGTACGGAAAGATTATTTAAAGGAAAAGCTGATTTTTGTCACAATATGAATAATTAATTAGCCATAATTCCAAACCCTTTGACCTATAGTCATAACATTTCTTGGGTATGTTTATGATAAGTTGTTCTATGCGTGTTCCAAGTTTAATAATTGTTCTTCACTCGATGGCTGAGATCTTAGAGAGATATTTGATTCCGGCTGGGAGATGGTCAAAATAAACCGGCCCTTTTAGGGTTAAACTTGCTATGTAGGCTAATGGAAAATCATACGCTTTATCTGAACTAAACGAACGCATGAAAAGTCATTCTAGGTGGTGGGTTTTAATTCGTTCAAATGTAATCACATTTAAGATTTCTGTTGAATAAATGCTGTTGGCATGGTATGAGCTCATGCGACTAAAGTTATCTCGTTGCAGCCTGGGTTTTTATTGGTCACATATAAATATGTCCTTTTAAATCATTGTAGAAACTGTAGAAGTTAGCAAAGTTGCCGTTGTTGTGTAAAGCCAACCGAGCAATGTACTAACTGAGCTGGCTGGAGCATGAAATATGTGGCTTTGATCGCCATCTTCAAGCATAATTTGTTCGCCTGTAAAATGTTGCCTATTCAGTCTAAAAAGTCCCTGATCACATTTGACCCTAGCCTTTCGCCAAGTCCATCGTGGTTTAACTACTGGGGCGGGACGAAACGATTGGGGCGGGAGACCACACACGCGAGTAGCAAATCCACGAGGCCTTTTCCAACTTGTCAAGATTTTCTTAAGTTTTTCTTTGTAATCTCGATTTTTGCTACCCTAAAAGGGTTATTAGCCTTTTAGGGTGCACGTGGCTTCAACCCAGGTGCGCGCGCACCCCGGATGCTGACACAAAATTTAAAAACAAAATAAAGCGAGTCTAGTGTTCATTTTCCACAAGATCGTGACTGCGCAATTGTTCTTTCATTATCTTATTACAATTTTACTTATATAAGCATTTCAAGAAATTATTTTAGTGTATGAACTTATTTTGTTTAGTTATTTCCTCTTACGTTTTCCGAAAATCACCCTTCTTTCACAAATGGACGCAACTCGGCAAAATCTGCGTTGTGATTGGTTAACCTTTCAGCACTCTACTTATTTGCATAAAAAAATATAAATAATTCAACAAACAAGTTAGAAAAAGCATCGTGGCTTCGCCACTCGTGCGTGCTGTATTAGCCTTAAGCCACAATAGCCTTGGCGAAAGGCTAATTTGACCCGGAATGCGAGCCATATGATACCTTCCTGGGTCTCATTGAAAATGTTCCGGGTCAAACGATCAAAAAAACTGATCCAGAGAAGTATCATTGCGACCTGGAAAAGTATCGCTTTGACACGAAAATATTATTTTGACCGAATTTAACCTGACTTGGTATTTTTCCGAGTGTTTAACAATAGTGTTGTATCTTTTTGTTAAGATCACACAAATGTGATCATCTTTGGATGGAATTTTCTCCCAAAAGTCATACAAAAATTAAAGATTCGTAAGATGATCAAATTAAAGATGATGAAAAAAAAATTAAATTCGAAGTGTGTCTCAATAATTTTGGAAAGTGCGCGTAATTGTCACTGAGGTCTATGTCAGTCTATTTACTGGTCTGCGCAATCTTTAATTAAAAATGGCTGCCTCCATGATGATGCAGTTACAGTGAGGTCGCTCTTTCTCATAATGACAATTTTCTGGTGAAGGGCAAAATTTGGATCCTTGATGGACACTGGGAATTCCTAAGGGGGTGTCCCCCCCCCCCCCCCGCGAATCTTTTTTTTTTCAAACGACATCCGCTTCCCATCTTTTGATTGGTCCATTTACAAACCCAAGATAGGCTTTTACGTCTTGTGAGAAATGTTCCTTCCCCGCTTCACTTATTTAAGGTAAAATGAGAGGACGTGAACAACGCTCGCTTGGGTTCGAACTCGGATGACCTGATTAAAAGTCAGGACTACTTCCAACCCGTCCACAAATCCGGGGTCAATCGTTGGAGATTTAAACACCATTATTCCTTGTTATATAACTTATTCTCTAAAGCCCTGGGCATCCTGAATATGCATAACGCAGAAAGAGCGCCGTCTCTTGATATTGTCCGATCTCGTTTGGGGAAAAAACCAAATCGCCCCGGCTACGTAAGGAGCTGCGAGGTAACATAGTTTAAACCTAAGAGGGAATTTAGACTCCAATTAGAGAGCGGGAAATCTAAATGTAAACTTCATTACACAGCGAGGCGTACAAGCTGTTGAATGTTCAAGCCTGTTACTAACTAGACATTTGTTTTATAAAATATGATTCATGGGTCCTTCCTTTTGCCTGAAATGTGGCCTGGGTGAAAATTGCAAAGTTTTGCTTAATGAAAGGGTGAAGGCCAGTAAATAGGCCCAAAATTGTCTACGCCTGCCAATTCACGATTTGCATGCCCCATAAATTATGCGGGTTTTTTTTTTTTAGTTCACGTCGTTTTTTGTTTTAAATCATCGAAAAAACCTTTTTGCTTCTTTTATAAAATTATACTAATTGTCCAACAATACACACATTGTTCATCGGCAAAACGTTTCCCTGTCAGTCGTTGAAGGTTGGGGGTCATTTTGACGCCAGAGAGCGCTTTTCCTCTTTTGCTCATCTGACTTTCTATAATTAATATTTTACAAATGTAATTGTTGAGAGAAGGGGGATCATGAATCACACCGAGTATTAGTCGTCCTCTTCTGGTTGAACTAGATGATATGGGTTGACTTCAGCGAATTCTCCGCAGTCCAAATTCATTCGGTAATCGTGTAGTTGAGGAACCTCTATTTTTTTTACAAGTTCCGTTCAAAGCTTATTTGTGATTAATCAAAGCCTGCACTCATCTATCCAGAAGATATTACGCTTCTATGATCATTGCCAAATATTTAGGTTTGAAATCCTAAACATGAAGTGTCTTTTCGTTTTTATACTGAACTGGGTCCTAAACTACACGATACGATTACACATTTTAATTCATTTTTTCCGACATAAAAGTATTTCAAAATGACTATCGCCAAGTATGCAGGGTGGCAGATAGGCCAATGTGCATTTGATGATATGATACAAGTATGGCATTTGGCACACAGTCAGAGTATGTGATAAAAAAAGATATCGGTTGTAGGGTCATCGCAGATTTGTCCTTTGAAAGGGGGCGGGGGCTCGTA